CCCGGAAGTATTGAACTCTGGTGTGCTTTAGGGGATTCCTATGAACATCAGAGCCTAAACGTGATACCGCTTAGTTTTGAGCTGGGAGGTAACATGATATCAGCTAGCATGTTCAAGGAGCAGAATGCAATGTATTACTTCAAAGGCTGTTTGGGATCAGCCAGGAGGGCCTGGCCATTGGCGGGCCCGCGCCTGGCAAGGCGACCGCCACCAGCAACTTCATGACGCAGTTTCAGAAGAAGGTCTTGGACAAGATCCTGCGACCGTCGACTATCACTGCAGACCACGGTGCTGTGGCAGCCGCAGTGGGAGCTGAGGCAGTGGATACTGCGGCTAACGACGGTGATGGTGCAGCAGCGAGAGCAGCCGCTGGGAACAGGCGGTGGGTGGCGGAGAGGCTGCTGCCATGGGCACGCATGCCGTGGATGGTGGCACGGGTGGCGGCCGCACAGGAGGCATCGCAGCAGCAGCAACCGCAGGGGGGGACACCGGCACGGGTCCCAGGCAGGGCGAGGCGGGCGTTGCCCAGGTAGAAAACCTAGCAGTTTGGAACCTGGGGAGCATGTTTAACAAGGTCGAGGGGTGCTGATGGGTTATGTCAACTTTCAATGTCAGGGCAGCTTGTTGGGTCTTACCCTGATATTTTACCTTGAACGTAAGTGTAGCAGCCGGTACACAGTACGGTGCTATAAATACGCGCAGAGCGCGACCGCCAGCAACTCGAGAGACCTTTTCAGCGGTCAGCTGCTACATTTGGTATCGAGACCTCGTGAAAATTCACGATCCTGAAGTCGTCGGTTCAACCCCCACCGATCACGTTCGAGTGGTATTCGGGTGTGGCGACTCAGAGAGCGAATATCGCACAAATTATAAAAGTAGCTGAACCGACTGGACTGTCTCTGTGCCTGAAAAATCTGAAGACGGCTAGGCGCATGTGAGTCGGCACATGACGTGACGTGGAGTAAATACCCACTGCCCGAGGGTAGGCGAAGGTAGGCACAGGCTGGCGGTATACGAGGCTCTAAGGGCCCGGGACGGTTCCCTTCAAAGGGGGGGGAATGTAGCAGCCGGTACACAGTACGGTGCTATAAATACGCGCAGAGCGCGACCGCCAGCAACTCGAGAGACCTTTTCAGCGGTCAGCTGCTACAGTAAGCACTGGATGTTGCTGCCCCCCCCCCACCACAGGACGAGGATACCACCAACTACGATGCGTCCAAGGAGTGGGTCAGCGAGGTGCCAAGAGTGGCTAAGGGTGCAGCTGGCAAGCGCAGGCGGGGTGGCGGTGATGATGACGACCTGGGTACGAGGTCAGGGCACAAGGTTGGAAATAAACGGCAGAAGGGGAACAAGGGTGCAGGCCGGGGCAGGGGTGCAAGCAAGGGGACCACCAGAGGTGCGGGGAAGGGCGGCGCAGGCAAGGGAGGGCGGAGGGGGCAGACAGAGGAGGGTAGCTCGGAGGGTGGGTCGGATGCTGGTGAGGAAGAGGTCCTAGCCGCTGGCGCTGGGGAGGAGTCCAGCTTGGAGGACCCGGGCAAATATAGCGAAGCTAGCAGCAGCAGCAGTGGCAGTGGCAGCAGTGACAGTGGTGGAAGTGAGCAGTAACATGGCAGCAGTGATGAGCACTTGGGGGTGCACACACCAGGTCGGCCCCAGGCAGGATGGGACAGACCAATCCCAATAGGTGCCGGCATATGTACCGGCGCCGGTACATGTCATGCATCGGGGGTTTCTTCCGTAGGAGTAGGCACGAACTCTGCAAGTGGTGGTGAGACTCCTTGACGAGCACTTGCTGTATGGGGGGTGACATGAACGCTGTTTTCGAGGACGATGGTTGAGATGAATGCATCAGGCTGTCAGGCTGGCTGGTTGGCGTTGTGAGTCCAAAGACTTAGGCTACTTTGACAAGGGGTGTGCGTCCATTTTGAGGCTTGCCACAAGTATTCACCAATCGTTAATTTAACATGCAGTAAGCGTCACATCGCAGAGTAATATCTGCCTGTGTAACCCGTGATAACAGGGTCTTCACCCGTAATTGTATGTGTAATTGGTTACATGCCCCGTAATTTACCCGCAGCACCGCGTAATATTCACCCGTAATCACTGGGTCTTCACCCGTAATTTTGCGTGTAATTGGTTACATGCGCCCGTAATTCACCTCCAGCACCGCGTAAAATCCACCCGTAATCACTGGGTCTTCACCCGTAATTCTGCGTGTAATTGGTTACATGCGCCCGTAATTAACCTCCAGCACCGCGTAAAATCCACCCGTAATCACTGGGTCTTCACCCGTAATTTTGCGTGTAATTGGTTACATGCGCCCGTAATTAACCTCCAGCACCGCGTAAAATCCACCCGTAATCACTGGGTCTTCACCCGTAAATGTTCACCTGTATCCTTGTGCTCAAATTACGGGACCCGTAACGTGTTATGGACCCGTAATTTCTGTCAAATTACGGGTGGATTGACCCAAAATTACGGGTAAAATGACCCCCCTTTTCCCAGAGTGTAAACGGCTCAGGAGCTGATTACCCGCGCTCCATCCTGGGGAAGGCCAAAGCACTTCAAGTTTGTGCACACTGGGATTCTGTACCTGGCAATGGTGGACTTCTGGGAAGGACCGCATGTGGACTTCGTCAACGTTAGGCTGCCGAATGACGGCTTCACCTACGTGCACAGTGGGCAGCAGGAAGAGGAGATTTTTTGGCACAGATGCGGCAGCTGGGTGGAGCTCGACAGCATGCTGCTGATGGAGTTCTTCCCGAACCTCACCAAGATTGTAGTGAACAAGTTCGCCTCAACCATCCTCATGGGTGGTCAATATTGTCCAGGTTGTGGTCAGTTCCATGCAACCAGCTGAGTCCTCCAACTTTAGATTAATGGTGTGTGAGTCACACATACATGCAATGATAAGGAGATCACTATGCTGAAAGGTGTCGCAAAATAGGTCCAGGAACAACAGTTATTTCGTGTGTTGAACTCATGAGCTGGAACCGCTTAGCAAACCTACCCCCTAGCAACTGCTGCTTCCAAGCCTGCAGCTTCACAAGCATGTCATACAACATGCACACATTGCTGACGGAAGCGAAACCAATTCATACAAGTGCATCAAGCACATTAAAACAGACACCACTAGCTCAGTCTCCACTAGCAAACGAGGTAGACAGCAGGAGTACCGCAGCTGAACGTAACGACTCAAGCGTGATTGGTGGGGGTTGAATCGACGACTTCAGGATGAAATTTCACGAGGTCTCGATACCAAATGTAGCAGCTGGCCGCTGAAAAGGCCTCTCGAGATGCTGGTGGTCGCGCTACGCGCGTATTTATAGCGCCGTGTTGTGAACCGGCTGCTACAAGACGGAGCACCTGCTGGGCGCCAGGGAATCAGGGTCCTCAGGACGCTCCAAGTCAGGACGTCGAGATGCAGCCCATCCAGGAAAAAAAGAGATGCAGCCCATCCAGGAAAAAAACGGGTGCACAGACGGGTTGCTGCGGGGAAGGTATGGAAAGAGCGCTAAAAGAGTAACGACTTCTGAATGTTAGGTTGTGATTTAGGGTTTTAGGCCTAAACCCCAGGCCTACTATGGCCCTCAGATTCAATGCAGGCGGCAATCCCTCACATCACCGAGTACCAGGCTACTGTAGCGCCCTCAGATGTATAACCAGTGTTTTTTTTAAGTAATATATTTCTTTTAAGGAATAAAGAGGCCATTTTGGCCTTTGGAAATAAGGAACAAATTGAGGCCGATCCGTACATTTTCATTCCTCCAGCCAAAAGCGTCCATTGCTGCCAGATTGCTCTGTAGTGTGCAGAACTTAGTATTATCGATCGTAGAATAGATATGAGGGGCCGTAAGAAGGTCAAGCCCGTGAGTCAACGCGGCATAGCAGAATGTATGACCGGTCCTTACATAGCCAAACACGCAAAAGGCAACGACTTGAACGCCGAACAAACACCAAAACAGCAAGATAAGCCTGAAATTTTTCCTGATGAAGGCGTTTGGGACGGCGGTGCTGTTGTCGGTAATGCATCGGCAATGGTGTTGCTGCCAGCGGCGACCGATGACACGGGCGCCATTACCCCTGCCTTCCATGGCGGCTGTGATCAGCATAAGCGCAAGCTGTCACCCAATCAGCTCGACAACAACGAATGCAGCGAGGCGCCCAACCCGAGCGCTCGCAGTGCCAAGCGGGCTCAGACACAGCGCATCCGCAAGGGCATAAGCGACGGTGCATGGCGGGACAAGCAGAAAGAAAATCCCCACAGATGGCAGATTGCCTGGGCCGCCAGGTATCCCTGGTCTATGAGGGGAGTTGTAACTTATCGGGGGGGGGGGGGTCTGGGGTGTGTAGCCCCCCCCAGCGCCCCACTCTTAAGGAATACATTACGGCGACGCTAGCAACTTTGTTACTTAGGTCGGAATAAATTGAGACCCCCCCTAAATGAAAAAAAATCACTGTTATACAGTATAACCCACACACGTGTCCAAACCAGGGTGCACGCTTTGGTGTAGCCCCATCAACAGGCTTGATGGGCATCCCCCACTGCTTTCCTCCCCACCTGCCCCAGACGAGGGCTATATGCCTTGAACGTCCTAATGACCAGCAAATCGCCTTGCCGGCCGGCCACCCCCATGACGGCAATCTGGAAGGACAGGACCCTGAACAGCCGCACAGGGTCGAGATGTTTCACCCCTGGCTTTCGTACGCATGTGGGCCATGTGGGGCCCCCATCGCCTTCGCTATCAACACTAATGCCCCTGGGATTAAAACATGGCCATTCGCGGTATTGGTACTGCTGCTGCTGCTTCAATGCCGCAGGGACGGACAATGTCGAGGTAGATCACCAGGTTGTGTGGTGCAGCCCTTGGGCCTAGTGAATCGCGCCCTGCAGTCCAATAGTGCAGCGGAGTGATGCTTTCTTGGCGGAAAAACGTGGCTTAACTACACATATAACGATGGGAGCAACGTATACGACCAGCATTGCTACTGCTGGCACAGGGAGAAATCTGCATCATCACCCCTGTGGATGGTTGATGGCCCGCAAAGTCGAAAGAATGTGCGGGCAGATGTAATACCCCGTAACCCCTGTAGTTCTGTCCTCGTAATACAAGTTGGATTTCGGGAGGATGGTGCGCTCTGCTACTGGTGCGCACCGCCGGGGAGGCACTCCTAGGCGTCTGCACTTCCTGGGACTCGGTGAGCCGGCAACGGTGTGGTACAAGATGTGGGCTGGAAGTAATGCATGACAAATCAATTGATAGATAAGTGAGATTCTCAACTTTTTATGAAAATACCGCAATACCTACCAAGTGTGAAACCATATCCTGCACCAGGTCCTCCATCTGCCTCCTGCTGGAAGGCGCACCAGCCAGCAGGTAGGCTATCCGTACAACGCCAAGCCCGACAGGATGCTGATGCACGCGAAGAAGCTCTCTCGCCTTGCGCCCATGGTCGAGCTCCGCATAGGATATCGCGGTCAAGACAACGCAAAGCGGGGCTGGAAACGAGCGGGATGGGGAGGGACAAGAATGCAAAGCGGGACAGCCACGTGCGATCGGCAGAGGAGTGGGAGGCGGGGCGGGCGGGGCAGCAGACAGGGCGGCAGGCAGAGCAACAGGCGGGGCCGGAGGACACGGAGGAGCACGGAAGGGCCAGGAGACATAGCAGGCGGGGACAGAGGTGGGGCGTGGGGGGGAGCGGGGCGGTGCGGGGCAGCAGGCGGGGCGGTGCGGGGCATGGCGGGGCAGCAGGG